GAATTTATACATCCAAAGTGATAATGAGCTAGCCATTGCAGTAATTAATGATCGTAAATGTCTCTATCAAGTGGTGAAAGGATAGGAGTCTTAGTTGGTTGTAAAGCTTAAAATTGGCGAACTTACAGGACACCGAGAAAAATAGTCCTTTACACAGTTCTGGTTATTATTGTTAATAAGAAATGATTCAATTACATTGTATGAATGATTACTAATCATTGATTAGTTTTAAATTTTTACTCTTATCATGGTTGGTTTGAAGTTACCAAGGTTTTTAGGTGTACATGATTTGCACTTGAATAATGTTTAGATGAAAGTTGTTTTCAAACAATTATTAATATTATATCACAACACAAGTCCGATGGCAGCTTCATATTATGGTTTACAAGCGGTGATGACCTGGGCTAGTTGTAAAGGTCAACCGCACTAGAGGGCGATCGAGATAAAAGTTGCTTTAACAGACTTTATTGCATTTAAAGCCTCTTTTGATTATCATTACCGCTTGTAAACCCTAATAAAGCTTTATGAAGCTGTCATGATAAATATTTGCAAAAATTTCTATCTCAACATTGTTCAAGTGGAAATGATCAATAATCTCAGACTAACCATGCGAAGTTTATCATCATTTTTCATTTTGTGCATTTTCTTATCCATCAATGGAATGAGTAAGGGGAATATTTATTTAATGCAGTTATTTGGGGAACTAAGCGTACCGTACAAGTGTACCATAAGATACAAGATAAGTAGCTTGTTTGAGAAGTTAACACTCAATTTTCTCCGGTTGTTGTCGATTTTTATTTCAGCCTGTGACGCGTATCTTGAGCTGTATGATTTTGGACCTGGAACAATTGGCGCACCAATGTTATTTAGAGTTAATTCTCACAACGGTCCAACGGGCCCTTCATATGAATTTCGATTCAAATTTGACCAATTACCACAATATGATAAAACCATTGTCTTGAATCAATATATTGTAGATTACGTCGTAACATTTGAATCAGTGAAAGCTGGTAACTATACAGTACAATTGATGCATGGACTTGTAATCACGGCGTTCCTTTTGATTCGTTAGGAACTCTTAATTCTACCTTCCAGCTTACAGGTAACGCTATCGAGTCATCAATCCAGAAATACCAACATAAAGCTTATTTTATGTATTTTTTTAGATTCCCTCACTGGAACTATAGCTGTAAATGATAATCCAAGGAAAAGAGTTGTTTCCACTGCAGAAACGTTTAAACTCACTGCCAGAACGAAATATTATTTCAATTTTTTCAACTCAGCTAATATAACTTACAAATGGATTATTAATGATGAGCCACAAGGAGAAAGCGAAGGTGTTATTAGACACTCTTTTTATAAGCCTCAACTGAACAACATTTCAGTGATTGTCACAGCAACTAAAACCAATGGAAGTCGTCTTATACAAAAATCTGGTACATTCAACCTTACATTGGAAAGCAAAGATCCAATTACTAATTTGACTATTGATGGTCCAACCGAGGTTAAAGTGTTTGAAAGAGTTCAACTGGACTGCAAAATTCATGGTGGAACACCTCCATTTCAATACGAGTACACTTTTTGGATGGACAAACCTTACAGCGAATATATTAATGTTATCAAAGATTCGAATGAAAGCTTCTCATCATTAATCAGATATTTCAGTGCAAAAGGGACAAGAACTGCGAAAATTGTTGCTAGAAATGATATATCTTCGATTGAAAAGAGGA